TAGAAAGATAATATTAAGGTCCCTTGCTTGTTTTGTTACCTTCTGGATGTCATAAACTGTTTCTCTGCCAAATCATCTGCCTTGTAGCCAGGCAACCATAGACTGTAAACTAAATAAACCTTTAGTCTTTTTCTTTGGGTGTCAGGTATTTTGTCCCTGCAATAAGAAAAGTAGTCACTGCCATGTGGCTGGTGGCCCTGTAAGAGGGGGTTGGCTGCAAGCCTGTTTGCAGGAGGCTGGTGATTCCCCCTCTGTCCACTGAGCCAGCTGCCATTTGGTCTGGTCCCATTCAGGAAGCCTTCATGCCTCTCTGATGGTTACTGCCACTTTACCGTACTCTTTGATGGTTTTGTCCTCAGAACAAACCAATTTTTCTGCTGCTGCTTTTTGCTGCTTATTGTTTTCTTTTTATTGTATAAGTGATTCATTTGCGTCAAAGTTTATGTTTCTAGTTTTTATGCCAGGTATTTTTTTTATAAATTTTACTTACCAGAAAAAAGGGAAAGAAAAAAAAAGAACACAACGAAATCTTGCTGTACTGCCATATTTTTATAAAGTTAAATCATTTCTCTTAAAAAAAATAAGAAAAGTAACTAAGACAGTATCTCCAGAAGACTTAACAAAATAGTATATGTCTATTTTTTATAGATTTTTTTCAGCCTACTTATGATTTGAGGATCTCACAGAAGAAAAAGTAAAAGGAAAGCCTATGTAGGTAATAGAGTACCAATTAGTAAATAGTAAAAGTGTTTTGAGCTTTCTGCAGAACACTACTAATAAAAAGTACATATGTTTCTTTTTTCATTTTTATTTGCATGCTTATAATAAATTATATGAGGAATGAGCAAAAATATGATTTAAATTAGAATAATTATTATAGTAAGAGATGCATTGTCATTAATTCCCTTAAAATTCCCCTAAACACACCTTTTCATTATGAACACACTCATTCTGTCACCCTTGCCACTTTCTAAAGCAATTCTGGATGTCTTCCTTCAAGAGTGTTTTTAGTTGCGCTGCCATGGTTGCCACAGTGTCTTAATTTAATTCAAAATCTCCACCTTTTAAGGTTATTTTGACTTTGAGGAAGAGCTAGAAGTTGCACATTGTCAGATGTAGTAAATAAACTGGATGAAGATGCAGTGTACAAGAGCTGCTGAGATAGGTCAGCCAACAAGGTGCCTGCTTTGGCAAGCACAGGGACCAAGATTTGATCCCTTCCCGGGTCCTGTCCCCACTGTGCACCCTGAGCCAGTGACAGAGTCTGGGCGTGGTGGCACATGTGCCTGTGATCTGCATAGTGAGATCCTGTGTCAAATATACAAATGAAAAAGAAAAAAAATGGTACTGGAAACTGAACCTAGGACTAGGTGAATGTTGCTGAGCTGCATTCTGAGCCTGCTTAATACTTCTTGAGGGAAATTTTAGGAACTAAATATAAAAATGTTTTAAAAATGTTCACATACTTGGATGGAAAAGTCTCACTTTAAGATTTTTTTCCTATGAACATAATAGGGAATGCTGAGAAATTTTATAGGCAAGGATCTATATAGATTTCTTAAATCTACTCAGTGCTTTTAAACACTCTTGAATTACTATGCAATTTTCTAAACTACAGCACAGGCGAGTCCTTGGTGGAATTCTGGACTCTTTTTCTTGATTTTTCCATTCGGTCTTTGCTTCCAAAGTTTACATCTGTTAGAAGTGGGTATTTAGCTCTTCATTCTGTCACGCATTGCCTCCAGTTATTTCCAATATTTCTCTTCTAGATGAGAGGTCAAATATTTATGATATTGGAAAATATTCCCAAAATTTGGGAACTGGTTAAATGAAGAGGATGGAAAACTTTATTGTAATTTCAAGTTCTGGTTTTGGGCTTTTAAAAGAAAGAGAATGAGAGAGAGAAGATTTCCCAGTCTCTTGAACTCCAATTGAAATAAAACTAGAGAAATTAAACAAAGAAATAAAAGGCTTGATTCAAATCAAATGATAGGAGAAAGCAAGAATAAAATATTTCCAATAAAGAAATACAAGGATGGGAGGATATAGGTAGGCAAAAGAGGTAGAGAGAACAGAAGCCTAACATACTCTAGAAAGAGATAAAAAAAATGGTAGATAATGATTGGTCTATTTCAATCCTCAAGAGATCTTAAATCATTGGTTATGAGTCAGAATTAATACTAGAAATAAGACTGAAAGCAGGATAGAGTGTCTCCATATAAAATAACTTATCCATTTGTGATCTGTCAAAATCTTTAAACAAGTCCTCTAAAAAGGAGCAGAGACAGTCATAATTTAACAGCAAATCAAATATCAACCAGCTTTTCTTAGAAGCAGTTCAAAAAAGCTGAAAAGGGTAAGTTGGAACTTAAAATATGGCTTTTGGTGTCCTGGTCAGTAAAGTCATCCTTTTTCCTGCAACAGAAGGGTCACCTATCCTGTGTTTTACTACTTGTCCTTGTTTCAGCCATTCCTAAAGTAAAGCTCATCAGCGAAACTACTTTGACTTACTTTTTCAAAAATTTTCAACTATGATATGTACAATTCAAGTGGAAAACATCCTCAGCAAGAAAGAAGATTGATGTTAGATGTCCAGTTCATTCTTCTATATAAGTTATTCAACTAAAGATTGCCAGGAAAATGAGGATCATGAGAAAGAATGGAAAAAGTGAAAGCATTTCACAACTGAACAAGAACAGAATGCTATGCAAGAGGCACAATTAAAAGTAGACTCAGATCTTACATATTTTCAATGTTAATTTCAAAATTAAGACTTTAGAAAATATCCTTATGTATGTAAAGATAAAAATTAGGCAGAAAATGTGAGAGATGATAAGAGTTCTTAGACTGGGAGTCAAAAAGAAGAAAGTAAAAAGTTGGAGAGGGGCAAAGTTGTGCAGCTTTAATATTAGGAACAGGGAAAAAAGAATATTTTCAGTCTTTTAGGAGCCAACTGAGAATCTGATAAAATGAAGGAAGAAAAGACCTATATCTTGAAATCTTAGAGTATCAAATAAGCAGTTTTGAAATATCAGCACTATGCGGACTAAGAATCATCCTAGGACTATATGAAGAGTACACAAGTCTGTAGCTAGTACTAGGGCAAGAAAGTGGAAACAAGTTATCTATGAAAGAAGAAAATCAAATTACATCAAACTTTTCACCAATTTCTACATAAACTAGAAGGTAGAACTTGCTTTGACCTTTCTGAAGAGAAATTACATTAAACCTAGGATTAAATGTCCAGCCAAATTAAAATATATGCACAGATCAAAGACTAAGTAAGCATAGTAAGTTTCATGAAGATAATTCCAATAGAGTGTAAGGCAGGAGGCAAATGAAGAGAAGAGGAAGCAGGGAGGGAGAGAAAGTGGTGGCAGAGGGGAGGAGTTGGAAGAGTCCAAAGAA